GGATGACACAAACATCCACGTGCTGAACTGGGGAGGACCACTTCTTGGAGTCCAAAAAGCCAATGTGTTTACGGCCCCGAAAATGAGATTGCTGCAGTGACCTTTTTTGCGAAAAATGGCGCAGCTTTAACAAAAAGCAATACTTTTGCAAGTGTAACGGAATGGCAGGATTCCGGGGAACACGGTTGCTGATTGAAGGTCTCTAGCCCCGCCTGCATGTTGCCACTCTTTGCCAAAGCGCCATGTTGTTTGGAATTGTTTGGGTGTTGTTGTCGCAGGCTTTCGCAACATGGCGTGGGTGAGGTGCTGATTCCGCTGCGACATTGCTGGCGGGATGCTTTTTTCTGTGTTTGCGTTGGCAGCGAATCGTTTTGTCACGATTGGGCGTCGCACTGCTGATGCGTTGTTTGTTTTTGGGCTCCCCCCCTTCGCCCCCCTAGACTCCTAACGCGGCAACTTTGCGGGTCGGGTTGTGTACGTCGCCCGGAGTTCAGTATCATCCGGTTAAAGAATAATAGTATATATTTAAAACCAGATGAATCCTTTGTTTACATTGGGGGAAGAGTTTCGATTTCATGACTCCAGCAGATTCCGTAAGAAGGCTAGAGATGCAAAACTTCGGTTTTACCACAGTTTTGTGCCAGTTTTGGTGTCTTTAGCTGCGGAGTCTTGCCGGAGTCGGGCGGAGTCGGTACACCTGCTGAAACCCTATTTACAATGGGGAAAGGGTTGAAAGAGTTCCAACTTTGTGACTCCAGACGACTCCGCAAGAAACCGCAAGATGCGCAAGATGATGTCACTGATTTTTTTTTGGCCCGAGCCCATTGCCTTTCGGCGGGTCTATGGTACATGAGACTTACTCGTCTACCACGTCACGATCGCGGCCCCGTACCCGGGGGGAATCGATCCGCGGCTAGCTGTCTATGCACGGTCCTGAGACGGGCATTATACCACTACGCGACGAGATCGCCTGCGCAAGATGATGTCACTGAACTGTTCGATTTGTTTCATGCCCATTTTTGGGGCTGGAAAGGTAAATAGAATTTGGACTCCCAAAGGCGGTCCTCCCCAGTTGCGTTGAAAGCTTGCTGCTTAAACAAAACCCAACTTTGATTTACTTCTGTAATGTAAAGAGCTTCGTGTTTCGAGCAGGTCGCAAGGTTCCACAGTGCCAAAAATGGGATTGCCACGCGCGACCGCTTTTCGCTTTGGAAAGGGCCATTTCGAGGCTGTTTTCAATTTCTATTTTCATAGCAGGCGAGACCAAAAACGGGCGCGCCAAATCCACGCGTTGGAGCGTGTGGCAATCCTGTTTTTGGGGTTGCGACATGACACTCGGAACGCACCCAGCTGCTTCAAAAGTTCGCCAGAAACCATGAAACCACAAAAGGCAGGAAGGATGACACAAACATCCACGTGCTGAACTGTTGCGTTGAAAGCTTGCTGCTTGAACAAAACCCAACTTTGATTTACTTGCGTAATGTAAAGAGCTTCGTGTTTCGAGCAGGTCGCAAGGTTCCACACTGCCAAAAATGGGATTGCCACGCGTGACCGCTTTTCGCTTTGGAAAGGGCCATTTCGAGGCTGTTTTCAATTTCTATTTTCATAGCAGGCGAGACCAAAAACGGGCGCGCCAAATCCACGCGTTGGAGCGTGTGGCAATCCTGTTTTTGGGGTTGCGACATGACACTCGGAACGCACCCAGCTGCTTCAAAAGTTCGCCAGAAACCATGAAACCACAAAAGGCAGGAAGGATGACACAAACATCCACGTGCTGAACTGGGGAGGACCACTTCTTGGAGTCCAAAACGCCAATGTGTTTACGGCCCCGAAAATGAGATTGCTGCAGTGACCTTTTTTGGGAAAAATGGCGCAGCTTTAACAAAATACTTTTGCAAGTGTAACGGGATGGCAGGATTCCGGGGAACACGGTTAGCTGATTGAAGGTCTCTAGCCCCGCCTGCATGTTGCCACTCTTTGCCAAAGCGCCATGTTGTTTGGAATTGTTTGGGTGTTGTTGTCGCAGGCTTTCGCAACATGGCGTGGGTGAGGTGCTGATTCCGCTGCGACATTGCTGGCGGGATGCTTTTTTCTGTGTTTGCGTTGGCAGTGGATCGTTTTGTCACGATTGGGCGTCGCACTGCTCAGTTTTGTTTTGGTCTCTTGATGCGTTGTTTGTTTCTGGGCTCCCCCCCTTCGCCCCCCTAGACTCCTAACGCGGCAACTTTGCGGGTCGGGTTGTGTATGTCGCCCGGAGTTCAGTATCATCCGGTTACGGTTAAAGAATAATAGTATATATTTAAAACCGGATGAATCCTTTGTTTACATTGGGGGAAGAGTTTCGATTTCATGACTCCAGCAGATTCCGTAAGAAGGCTGGAGATGCAAAACCTCCGTTTTACCACAGTTTTGTGCCAGTTTTGATGTCTTTAGCTGCGGAGTCTTGCCGGAGTCGGGAGGAGTCGGTACACCTGCTGAAACCCTATTTACAATGGGGAAAGGGTTGAAAGAGTTCCAACTTTGTGACTCCAGACGACTCCGCAAGAAACCGCAAGATGCGCAAGATGATGTCACTGAACTGTTCGATTTGTTTCATGCCCATTTTTGGGGTTGGAAGGTAAATAGAATTTGGACTCCCAAAGGCGGTCCTCCCCAGTTGCGCTGAAAGCTTGCTGCTTAAACAAAACCCAACTTTGATTTACTTGCGTAATGTAAAGAGCTTCGTGTTTCGAGCATGGGGGATCCATCACTCCCCCCCTTCCCCCATCTGTCTTTTATACTTCTTTGCCTCCCCCCCCTCCCCACTTCGTGGGTCGCAAGGTTCCACACTGCCAAAAATGGGATTGCCACGCGCGACCGCTTTTCGCTTTGGAAAGGGCCATTTCGAGGCTGTTTTCAATTTCTATTTTCATAGCAGGCGAGACCAAAAACGGGCGCGCCAAATCCACGCGTTGGAGCGTGCGGCAATCCTGTTTTTGGGGTTGCGACATGACACTCGGAACGCACCCAGCTGCTTCAAAAGTTCGCCAGAAACCATGAAACCACAAAAGGCAGGAAGGATGACACAAACATCCACGTGCTGAACTGGGGAGGACCACTTCTTGGAGTCCAAAACGCCAATGTGTTTACGGCCCCGAAAATGAGATTGCTGCAGTGACCTTTTTTGGGAAAAATGGCGCAGCTTTAACAAAAAGCAATACTTTTGCAAGTGTAACGGAATGGCAGGATTCCGGGGAACACGGTTGCTGATTGAAGGTCTCTAGCCCCGCCTGCATGTTGCCAATCTTTGCCAAAGCACCATGTTGTTTGGAATTGTTTGGGTGTTGTTGTCGCAGGCTTTCGCAACATGGCGTGGGTGAGGTGCTGATTCCGCTGCGACATTGCTGGCGGGATGCTTTTTCTGTGTTGCGTTGGCAGCGAATCGTTTTGTCACGATTGGGCGTCGCACTGCTCAGTTTTGTTTTGGTCTCTTGATGCGTTGTTTGTTTTTGGGCTCCCCCCCTTCGCCCCCCTAGACTCCTAACGCGGCAACTTTGCGGGTCGGGTTGTGTATGTCGCCCGGAGGTCAGTATCATCCGGTTAAAGAATAATAGTATATATTTAAAACCGGATGAATCCTTTGTTTACATTGGGGGAAGAGTTTCGATTTCATGACTCCAGCAGATTCCGTAAGAAGGCTGGAGATGCAAAACTTCCGTTTTACCACAGTTTTGTGCCAGTTTTGATGTCTTTAGCTGCGGAGTCTTGCCGGAGTCGGGCGGAGTCGGTACACCTGCTGAAACCCTATTTACAATGGGGAAAGGGTTGAAAGAGTTCCAACTTTGTGACTCCAGACGACGCCGCAAGAAACCGCAAGATGCGCAAGATGATGTCACTGAACTGTTCGATTTGTTTCATGCCCATTTTTGGGGTTGGAAAGGTAAATAGAATTTGGACTCCCAAAGGCGGTCCTCCCCAGTTGCGTTGAAAGCTTGCTGCTTAAACAAAGCCCAACCTTGATTGACTTGCGTAATGTAAAGAGCTTCGTGTTTCGAGCAGGTCGCAAGGTTCCACACTGCCAAAAATGGGATTGCCACGCGCGACCGCTTTTCGCTTTGGAAAGGGCCATTTCGAGGTTGTTTTCAATTTCTATTTTAATAGCAGGCGAGACCAGAAACGGGCGCGCCAAATCCACGCGTTGGAGCGTGTGGCAATCTTGTTTTTGGGGTTGCGACATGACACTCGGAACGCACCCAGCTGCTTCAAAAGTTCGCCAGAAACCATGAAACCACAAAAGGCAGGAAGGATGACACAAACATCCACGTGCTGAACAGTAGTTCTACCCTGCTTGCCTCTTAAGTAGATTTGCTTGGGTGGGTCCTGCATTTCATGCAATCTGTCAACGTGTTGATAGAGCCTTAAATCTAAACGCGTTAGAAAAGTTTCCTGTGAAACTTTTAGCCCTGTTGTCTCCTCTTCGCCTCTCGCGATTGTTTCTCCTGTTCGCGTAAAAACCTTTACAGCTTCCTGCTGTTTTTATGACTCTGTTTTTATGGTGCCTTTCCTTCTTGTGAGTTCTGGTTTGTGTGTATACTCATTTGAGTCAGATGCTTCAACCTGTTGTGCAAAGGTGCAGTGATTTGATTCATACTGGTTTTGGGTTTTTACGTTTGTGCAACATGTCCATTTTGATCTCAAGTGCATTTTTGGTCTCAAGAAAATTTGAAGTTAGATGCGGTCCGCCGCGCATCGTGGGCATATCGCTGTGACGAGCCAAATCTGTCTTGGCCATTGTCAGCTTCGCAAATTTTCCCCATTTCAGTGCTTGTATTTTTCGATTTTCAGCTTCTTGCTGGGTTTCGTGACTTGCTTCATCTGGCTTCTATACGGTCAATAGGGGGTACATGGATTTGCATCACAGTGATTCTGCCATTGAGGAGACACATGTGGTTGATGCCGATGTGGACGCTGACGGTGAAGAACCCTCTTTTGATGACGGCTTGGACCATGATCATTTGGACATGTTCGGTTTGCACAGCAGTCTTGATGAACGAGCTGACATTGACAATTCCTCTTTGCTTGGAACTGGTGATTTTTTGTCAGGTTTTGTTTCAGGTTTGCATGAGGGCCCAGGCCATGACGTGACACAGCGAGGAGCCAGTGCAGGTCAACCAGTTGTTTCTGCTGCAGTACATGATGCCACCTTTTCTAGGGACTTGTTTAGCAATTTTGATGCTACAGGGATCAAGCTGCCTTGGGAGACAGGGATTTTCCGTGAACTTCTTGGAGACGATCCACTGTCCGAGCCTCTAGTGCCGAAGATGCCTATTGGTGAGTTTTGCAGTTTTGGGATTGATGATACGCCTCAGCATGTCACGGAGTCTGTTGCAAGTGTTGCTATGACATCCATGGCAACCCCAGTGTTTTCTTCTTGCACTGGTAGTGGAGATGATTTGAACTATGATGCAAAGCGTCAGCAGCTCAGGGACGTTGCAATTGGGAAATTTCTCATTGTCTTGCGCCAGTGGCCCACGGCCAGCAAAACAGGTAGGCACGTTGCTGAGTTGGATTCAACAGGACAACAACAAGATGAAGTCTTTGAGATTTTGAGCTCAGTGCTTGGTGTGAAGTCACCGGCCACTTTGATTAAGCGAGCTAACTCGCTGCTGGCCTTCATGCGTTGGGCCGTCAGAGTTGGCAAGGGTGCTGAATGCCCTTTTTGTGAGCAAATTGTATGGGAATACTTTCAACATCTCAAGGCTTCAGGAGCTGCAGCAACCCGTGCAGAGTCAACAATGTCATCTTTGAGATTTGCCTTTTACCTTTTGGGGTTTGAAAGCCTGGAGTCTTCTTTGACCAGCCGCAGGTTGATTGGCACTTGTTGCATACCTTTTGTTTGCACTGTATGGGAGATGTCGGAATAGCGACCTGTTGTCCATTCACACCATTGAAACAGACTTTAATGCAGATGGAGGCTTTGTAGTTGTCAGCACCTGCAATCACAAGTCGGGTCGGATGGCTGCTCTCAAGACACGACTGATGCCTATTATCATACCTGCACGAGGGATCAATGGCAGTGTGTGGCCGTTCACAGCTTTTAGAGTCCTTGAGGATGCTGGGTGCTTTAGTCAGAACCCAGTCAACGGCCCTTTGATGCGTGCTCCATCGAATGGTGCAGGTGATTTCATGAAACGAGGGCTGAAAACAAGTGAGGTTTCAAGTGTGCTTCGAAATTTCCTGAACATCAATGAGCCCGTCAAAGGTTCAGTGGATGAGGTTGTGTCGAGTCACAGCTTGAAGGCGACTTTTCTTGCCTGGTCGGCACGCTACGGCCTCAGCCCTCAGACCAGGTCGCTCCTGGGAAGGCACACAACATGTCTGAATGAGACATTCGCAATCTATTCCAGGGATCTTGCTTGTGCACCTGTTGCCGAGTTACAAAAGCTCATTGATTGTGTGCATGATGGCAGTTTTGTTCCAGATGGTGAGCGTTCGAAATTTTTCAGGGCAGTTGATGTCCAGTCTCATGCAAAGGGTGTGGATGTTGTGAAACAAGAGCAGCCTGACCATGACAGTGTTATCACCCTGTATGACTCACCCCAGGGCACTGATACTGCAGAGCAAGCTCACGCTGGTGACGTTGCAAGCTGGGGTGGCTCAGTGGATGAGAATGCGTCCCAGACGCAGGCCGATGTGGCTGACGTACCTGACGTGTGCAGTCCGGTCCCAGTTGATGAAACTGATTCATCATCCAGTGGTTCCGACGCTGCATCATCGGAAGAGTCAGATGTTGTAGAACCACCCTCAAGGGTCAAACGGTTCAGGGCCAGAATTCCAGTTCATGAGAAGTGGTACGTACATGCCAAATCCCACTTGGTGCACCGATATGAAGGAGATGCTCACAATGATGCAAAGTTTTTGGTTTGTGGAAAGCTGCTCACTGGATCTTATTCAGTTTGCACTGAAGCGACGGCATGGAACACTTTGTGCAAGTCGTGTAACCGACGATAAGCACGGGAGATGACACCCAGAAAGTTCAATAGGATGTTGGAGACTTGGCGTATTGCAGTGCCGCTGAAAAAGAAATTGCGGCTGGTGACAAGCTGTCGTCGGATTTGCAAGATGCGATGTGTGGAAGTGGACAAAGCAGTCCAAACATGTGGAGGGTGAACTCCTTCATGAAACTGAATGCATGGCAAACCGCCGATGCTGTGTTTGGTTCAATGTCAGCATGCGTTTGAGCATGCGTTCAATCAATGTTTGATGATCTCATGTCTTTTTGAAATTTTTGGAATGGGATACAGTCAAACTGTCCTGAGGAACTAAACAACTCTAACAATGCGCTTTACAATTTTGGTGTTTGATTTGTTATTAAATTGTGTTTCGGGAAAACTTTGAACGTCCATTGCCTGGCATTTTGCCGCCATGACCTCTATTGTTGATTCAGAAGCACAGTTTGACCTCCGAATGGACCAAGTCAAGCTGCCTGAACAACTTCAGCGTGCCCTTCGAACTGCTGGAGTGTGTACCATCTCAGCATTAGCATATGCCCATGGCCAACCTGGTCAGCCAATAGTTGCCGAAGACTTCCAAGCATGGGTTCGCACCCTTGACCCGGGCGCAACAATCGGGGGCGTGGCTTCGTTGAAGCGCCTCTTGTTCGAAAGTCAAACCCAATTATTGGCTATTCTGAAAGAGCAAGTTACAAATCCTGAGCCAACAGTGGCGCGTAAAGTGCCTCCTGCAGAACGAGAATCTCGATTGGCCAACTTGAAAAACCGTCTTGTAGGCGTCCTCATCGAGGGACATTCTGAGCCAAGTCACGCTTTGCTTGACCTCGCAACTCAATTGTATGATCAGAATGTGCTGCGTTTCACTCCGCTGGAGAAATGCTACAGCAGACTTACAGAGTTATCCTTTACCAGCAAGCCACAATCAAAACTGCTTGAAGTTGAATCTTCCAAGGTTGTGATCCGCGACAAGGACTCAGAATTTGAAGCAAGTGTGCAATCGTCATATCAAGCATTGGAAGCCTTCAAACGTAGAGGATTGGCGCTTGATTTCGCCAATGTGATGACTTTTACCTGCCACGACAAATACGTGCAGCTGTTGTTTGCACATTTGAACCGAGAGCCACCGGCAGGATACAACGGGTGCAGTGTATCGCAGCTTCTCTCAGCGGACAAATCTGCATGGTGCCATTTGATTGAAAAGAATGTGAAGCCCAGACCGGATCTTGCTGGTGCACTTGCATTGGACACAAAACTGGAAGAAGCATTGAAGTCGTACGAAGTAAGCTTCTCACTTCTACCAATGATTGCAAAACAGACACAGAGAGTTGCCACACCGGCTGCCACTCCAGTTGCAAAGACACATGCTGCGCCTTCAGCTAAAGGCAACCGGAAAGGGCTGAATAGATTCCGTCCCTACACTGCAAAGGGCAAGGGAAAATCCAAAGGAAAGTTCGATCAAAGGATTCCAAAAGAAATTCGGGATGCAGGTGGCACTGCGTCGACACCAGATGGCGAGCCAATTTGCTTTGACTATTCTTTGAAGAAATGCAAGGAAGTTGTCACCGATGGACGATGCAGAAAGGGGTATCATCTTTGTTGTATCTGCTATGGCCAGCACAGCATGGCAGACCACAAAAAATCGTGACTATGTAACGACAACCAGGCTGCCAAGAAGCGCAAATTTGAAGTTTGTACAGCCAGTGATTCTGAGCAGCCTACTGCATGTTCGCACGACGGACCCCCAAGGGGTACTAAATCTAAATTTTCCAAGTATGTAAAACATGGTCATGTTCAGCTTGGCCCTTCAGTGAACCCAAAGATTGCGCAGCCCACTGACGAGGGCCAGTGTGTTGCCAGCTCACAGACCACAGCCACAGCAAGACCTATGCCAAAGGAACCATTTATCCTTGAGATTTGCGCTGGTTCAGCGCGGGTCACATCATGCCTTCAGGCGCTTGGTTTGCATGCTTCATTTGGAGTAGACCACAAAAAGCACAGGAACTCAGGCCGTGTCCTAGTGGCCGATCTCACCACTAGGGAAGGCCAAGCCCTTTGTTGGTCCTGGATTCAGTCACCTAGCTGCATGTGCATTTTCTGCGCACCACCATGCGGTACCTGTAGTAGAGCTAGAGGAATCCCAATCACCTTGCCTAATGGACGCAAAATTGCCGGGCCGCAACCCTTGCGAACCCCGCTCATGCCCGATGGAGTGACCAAAATGAGCTGGCTAAATCGTCGACGTGTTCAATCAGCTAACACACTATATGCCTTCATAACCAAGGTTGTTTTGTATTGCTTGAACTTGAACCTCATTGTTGTCATTGAAAATCCACGTTCGTCGTTATATTGGCGAACATCATTCTTTGCCCCTTTGAGACAGCTATTGCAATACACCGCCCACCAGGCATGTGCATACGGGTCCGAACGACCAAAGTGGACCGTTTTAGCCCACAACACTCTCTCACTTTCCAGTTTGTGCAAAACATGCCCTGGCCTGAGCCGTAGCCACAAACATAAGCCATGGGGTGTTGTCACAGGCCCAGATCAAACTCGGACGTTTTCCACTGCAGAGGAAACGGCATACCCTATGCCACTTGCATATGCCATTGCCTTTGGTATTACCCAGGAACTCATTTCACTTGGCTGGCAGCCTCCTCCTTGGGAGCTGGCCCCGCCTGACACCGTCTCCTTCCATTATCTTAGGTCAATCGTTGGAGTCCAACCCAAAGCCAGCAGAATGCCACCATTGCTTTCGGAATTTTCACATGTCATGCGTGTCCCCATTCCTGCTGATGGTTGCCCAATTCAAGTTGGCCAAAAGTTGCAATCCGAATGGAACATGGTCCCTGCCGGTGCCAAGTTCTTACGCAGACCTCCCCTCCGGTTAAATGGGGGTAGTATTGCTTGTGGGGATAAAGATGTTGGTGGTTCGTTGTCAGATAAGCCCCGTGGTGATCCTGATAGGGCTTCTGGTCTTAACCCTAACCATGATAACCCTATGCCCCTAACTCCTGCTCCTAGTCCGCCCATTGTAGTCCCCTTTCAGTCGGATGCTGACCCATGCAGCCAAAATGGCCCCGGCCAGATTGCTCATTTCGGGGTGTATAGGACTTGTGAACAGTTTGTCAAAGATGCCGTGAGCGCGGGGCACCCAGTTGGTGGAATTTCGAGACTTCCTGATCCGTTGTGGGAAGTGTTGACGCATGTATCTAACACGCCCACTTATGTCTTGGCAAAACAGCGCTTGGCTACTCTCCAATATTGGCTTGATCGGGGTCGTAGCTTAGTTAGCGATGAGGCTAAGCTCCACGCCGGCTTCCCTTCAACCCTTCAAGGGATTCTGGCACCAAAGAGGTTGCTGCTTTGGAAGGAAATGATGGAGTACTATGAGTACCCAGACTCAGCCGTGTTCCATGAAGTAGTTGGTGGTATTGATCTTGCGGGCCCTGCCCCGGTGGTCCCATTCTTTGATCCTTGTTTTCGGCCGGCAAAGGTATCCATGCCTGAGTTAGCTAGATCTGCACCCGCTGCCAGAGCAGCACTGTTGGCCACGATTGGACCTTCTGGTGATGCGAACATTGATGAAGTTGTGTATGCAAAGACCTTGGAAGAATTGGAGTGTGGTTGGCTGGATGGCCCTTATGTGCCTGAGGAACTGCCTGATGATGCGGTGGTCAGCCGCCGCTTTGGTATAAACCAGTCGTCCGGTGATGGCATGAAGGTGAGACTCATAGATGATTTCTCTGGGTCTGGTGTCAATGACACCGTGCAAGTTGAAAGTGCGGTTAAGTTACATACGTTGGATGTTGCAGCTGCACTATGTATGGAGCTTCTCAAGTCTGATTGTGACCAACAGTGGGTGGGCAAGACATTGGATCTTTCGGCGGCCTATAGGCAGTTGGGAGTGGCGCCTGGATCACGTTTGGTGTCATACATCGCTGTATATGACCCTGGGGAATGCAGACCTAAGATTTTTGCAATGCGGGCACTCCCCTTCGGGGCAAGCAAATCAGTTTACAGCTTCCTTAGGGTGTCGCACTCGCTTTGGTGGCTCGGTTGTAAGTCGTTAAAGCTTGTATGGAGCAACTTCTTTGACGATTACATCACTTTTTGCAGGGCAGTTGAATCGGATTCCGTGGCCATTGCTGCACTGCAATTCTTCCGCTTGCTTGGGTGGGCGGTTTCATCAGGTGACAAAGACCTCCCGTTCTCAGAGAGATTTAAGGCCCTTGGTGTTGAGATTGACTGTTCAAAGTGGACTTCGGGATGTGTCTCTTTTGCTAACACTGAGAAACGCGTTAAGGAGTTGACTGAAACTATCGATGAAGTCTTGCTCGCGAAGCGCCTCACCAAGCAGGGTGCACTTGTCCTACGAGGGAGGATGCAATTCGCAAAAGCCCAGCTGTGGGGACGAGCTGCTAGATTGTGTTTGAGTGCGGTTACGGCACATGCATGCAATGGTTCTGGGGACGGCCTTGGTGACCATACGTTAGCACTCCTAAAGGTATTCCGTTGCCACCTACTGCAAGGCCTCGTGAAATTACTGCACGGTGGGATGTCCCGTATTTCCTGTTCACGGATGCTTCATTTTCACCGGATGACACAAACTGGCCAGGTGGCATTGGAGGTGTGCTTGTTGATTCGTCTGGTTGCCAGATTTCGGCCTTTTCTTTTGAACTTCGTCCGGAAGACTTTACTGCACTGGGCTACCCCGGCAAGAGCACCGTCATATTCGAGGCTGAACTCCTTGCGCTCCTAGTGTCCCTTAAATTGTGGAAGAAGCTTCTAAGGAATCACCCTTGTGTTGCTTATATTGATAACAACTCAACCAGAGATGTGTGTATAAGTGGTACTGCCAGGACTTTCCCCGGATCAAGCCTTGTTGCACAGGTCTTAGAGGTAGAGGACGCTCAAGGTATAATCTCATGGTTTGCAAGAGTTCCGTCAGAAAGTAACATTGCTGATGGACCATCACGTGGTTCGGCAGACGGCATAAGTGCTAGTTTCGTATCTCCTCTCCTGGTTGGAGTGACAGTGGCAAAATGTTTGCAGCGGCTCGTCAAACACTCCGGTTAAGATGGGGTGATGAGATGTGACAGCCCTTGGCCAGACATACCGCTCTGGAAATGGAACCTCTGCTCAGAGGTGATTCGTTTTGAATGATGGTGCTCCCACGATGGGAGGAAGTGGCGAAACGTTTTTGAGCTGTGAAATTTTTCCTGATGGCCCGATGAAGGGCGGCCTGATGTAAGGCTGAACTGTTGCACATCCCATCGTTGTGCTTCGAGAAAAAAAACATGTGCTGCTGTTTGTGATGCCACACATGTCAGTTGTCACTCTGTGTTTTTGTGTTTTGTTTTTGTGATGTTTTTCCTGTTTGGTTTTTGCGCGTGTTTTTGCGCAATGTAATGAGGAGGTATTGACAACTGGGCGGCGATCGCGTTGATTTAAGCAATCTGTCAACGTGTTGATAGAGCCTTAAATCTAAACGTGTTAGAAAAGTTTCCTGTGAAACTTTTAGCCCTGTTGTCTCTTCTTCGCCTCTCGCGATTGTTTCTCCTGTTCGCGTAAAAACCTTTACAGCTTCCTGCTGTTTTTATGACTCTGTTTTTATGGTGCCTTTCCTTCTTGTGAGTTCTGGTTTGTGTGTATACTCATTTGAGTCAGATGCTTCAACCTGTTGTGCAAAGGTGCAGTGATTTGATTCATACTGGTTTTGGGTTTTTACGTTTGTGCAACATGTCCATTTTGATCTCAAGTGCATTTTTGGTCTCAAGAAAATTTGAAGTTCCCACCCGTTTTCACTCCCACCCCAAAAGTTCATTTTTCTTTTCAGATAGTTCTGCTGCAGCCGCAGTTCTGACTCATCCCATATGTGTCAGCAGCATTACCCAGTTCACTACCGAACCGTTGCACACAGCCCCGATAGCTACTGATGTCACCCGAGGCAATCATTGGGCTAACTGCGGCCATCAGCATTGCGTTCCATTTTCTGGAACCTGTTCACCCAAATATGCAGATTGCACAAAATCTCCAAGAAGAGCGCTTGCTTGCGTTCGACAAGATCGTCTCGGCCTGTAAGCTGCTGATCGAACAGATTGGACGTCCGAAGTTCATGACCAGCGTGTGGCAATTGTGGTCGCAACTCTCTCAGGCCATGTTTACATTAGAGCGCACACTGTGGCCAAATCAACCACCGGAAACCCCCTTGAACATCACGCTCCCACAACATTCGAGACCCCTGTCGGACGTCCTCTTGAATAACTTCGACCAACATGCTACATTTGTCCTTCAGGCAATTGCACCGCTGGAGCAATTTCATCAGTGGTTTATTTCTGAGTATGACATCGTTTTGCACGCAGAGTTCAATGAGATGTTGATTGATTCGCTCTTACTATTTCGTACAGTGGAGACCATGTTGAGGATGAAAAGGCGGTTGCAAACTCTTTTGCCGCCGCCTGCGGACACAGCAGCTGCTCCTCCGGCCGAGACCCCAGCCACGGCCGCATCAGCTGCTTCTCCAGCTGCTCCGGCCACAGGCGAGACTGAGATGACCATTACCAACGCCGCTGGCGAAGTCCTTTCTTGGTATTGATGGCCGGGGTGATGAGATGTGACAGCCCTTGGCCAGACATACCGCTCTGGAAATGGAACCTCTGCTCAGAGGTGATTCGTTTTGAATGATGGTGCTCCCACGATGGGAGGAAGTGGCGAAACGTTTTTGAGCTGTGAAATTTTTCCTGATGGCCCGATGAAGGGCGGCCTGATGTAAGGCTGAACTGTTGCACATCCCATCGTTGTGCTTCGAGAAAAAAAAACATGTGCTGCTGTTTGTGATGCCACACATGTCAGTTGTCACTCTGTGTTTTTGTGTTTTGTTTTTGTGATGTTTTTCCTGTTTGGTTTTTGCGCGTGTTTTTGCGCTATGTAATGAGGAGGTATTGACAACTGGGCGGCGATCGCGTTGATTTAAGGATCTTGTAACTCCACCCCCCTGACCCTGGTCTTTGGACTGCCGCAATTCTCCTCACCCCTTTGTCTTCTTGTTTTTAGCCTGGCTCAACAGGCAGTTAAGGTACAACTCGACTAGGATAGGATAGTCCCTATCCTGAAGACGTGTCATTCCTTTGCGACTCCTTCAGTGATAGGGCCAGTTTCTCCTTACCAAGGACACGGTGGCTGCTCTACTGGGCTGCCCTGCCTCTTCTTAGGCAGCGACTAAGGATTGGCGGCGGAAAATGCATCATTGCTGAGGCGAACATCGTTGGTAACTTTGGTAAGGTGTCCGCCTCATCAATGAACATGAATTGCTTCCGGCAAATCCAAAGTGGTAGCAGAGGAGCCAGACCAAGACCTGAATCAGCATACGGCAGGTCGATACAAGGAGCCATGGTCGCAGGCTTTGAGCACGGGCGCACTGAGAGATACACCACCGGGCAAGGCACTGGACAGCTGCGTGCAGCAGTGGCTAGGGCCTCGCCGTGCAGGATTACCATCAGGTCATGGTACGGGCCGGCTACGGTAGCACCCCAATCAGCTAGCACCCGACCCCACAGCAACCTCAAAAAGATGTGGTAGAGAAGCACCTAGTGAAAGTGAACAGAAAGAGTGAAACATTACAAAGCCACGCTTAAAGATAGAGGACGAGCCTACCTGACTAAAATCACTGTAAGGGCGTTGGCAGATCATGAATGAGTGCGTGGCGCTCTCCTTTGCAACATCTGTAATTTGCGGTGCTCCATTGTATGCGCCCAGTCATTTTCCTGATGCGAAGCTCACCTGATGGCTGACGTTGCTGGACAATTTTGATCGCGTGTGGCACAAAGCCTTGTCCTGCTAGAGAGCGTGCTACTACCATGATGATCCTGGTATGCTTGGCGGCGCATGGTACACTCCGCCGAATTGCCTTTGCTGGCAACACCTTCATGGTCCGTCTCTCTCGGCAAGACCAATCGTTATGTCAAAATACCCTTGCTATCTGTGCTATGACCTAGGACCTAGGATATACCTGCAGGAAGGACCGGACCCTGGTACCCATTAGTCTGGCCATTTTGTCTACGATGGAGCTATTGCGAGCTGCTCTGCAGGAATCTGATACGAAGCTGTCTCTCTCCGCTGCTAATAAATTTGCAAGTTTTTCTGGCTGCGTTTGGCCTTGCCCCCTTGCTTTGCTTTGTCACGTGGTTTCGGCCTCTCGCATTGACTTCTCTCGGCATTGCTAAAGTGAGACCTCGTTAACGCTTTGAGTGTGATGACGTGGACAAGAACTACTGAGAGGACTCTGAGTGTTTTGAGCCCTGCGTAGATGTACAGTGCTGCTGAGATTTTGTACACTGGTGCACGTGGTCTCTTTTCTGAATTCGCTATTGCATATTTTTAATTAGTTTTTGCATGTTTCTACTGTACGCATTGGTGGGTGGATATCCCCATCAGTGCTCATGGTGGCTGTTTGTGTTTGTTTGCGTTTGGGCCCCGGCCCCTTTTTGTGGTTGTTGTTTTCTTGTTTCGATTTGTCGGCGTGGGTAGACACGCATATCTGACCGGGGGATGTGCATTTCTTCCCTATGCCTTGTGGTTTTTTGTGTTTTTGCCACCCCTTTTTATGTACAGTCTACAGGGATCTGAATGTGTCTCTGTCTTGTTTTCAGTTTCTTTGATTTCCTTAAGGACCGAGCCTTTGAGCGTTATCGGCCGTACTCGAGGGAAAAAAGCTGGAGACAATATTGGTTCAGCTGGATTCCCACAATTCAATGCACAGGTTCCTGTACCTCCTCCTGCTGCGAAGGCTGATCCGCCGCTTCTTCCTGTAGCTGCCCTTGGAAGTGAAAAGGCCTACAATGAGATCAAAGGCAAGAACAAGGAACTCGAGAAGGGTGGAAAAGGAGATTCTTTGAAAGGTGGCAACAGCGACAAAGGCAAGGGCAAGGAATTCGACAAAGGTGCAAAGGGAGACCAGGGAGACAAGGGAGCCCAGCTTCCAAGACTTCATGGAACTTGCCCGGGTGAGAGGGAGAGAAAGAAAGCAGATGGGAAAAGGACCGTTGCTTCCTGTTCCCAAGGCTACGAGCCACTCTACAAAATGTGCACGCATGTCAGAAGAGCCACCAGAAGTGGCCGAGCAGAATTCAAACAAGATACCAGATGCAGGTGCAATGACAGTTGGCTCCAAGCGTCGCCATGAGGCGGTGATGTCCGCCTCCGACAGCGAAGATGGCATTGGGAGCTACTCCTTTATCTCCGACACCGGGGACTCACCGCCCCTTTTCCCTTGCGTTGCTACTGGATTGCCCGGCACAATTGGGGTGACGACTGGGAAGCTGATATTAATTATGAAGAAGTGGATTTCTCAGTTCCCAAGCCTGCATGGATCAAGGATACCTATCATTGGTCTTGCACGCTCTTGAAGATGGGAAAATTCGCTGCATCTCCAACTACCTATCATGCTTTCGTTGTCAAGGTCTTCAACAAAAGTGCCGATGAGTGTCGCTATGCCAAGAAGATGATCGGCCAGTTCAGGAAGAAATTGACTTCCACCCCCAGGACCCAAGGTCCGGATTTCTGTGCATTCTTAATGCACTGCCGCGTTGACGCCTTCCTCAACGCCGGATATGTTTACTCGAATGGCGCTGATGGGGGAGATTGACAAGGAGCTGCATGCTTGAGCTATGGTTTTTGGTGATTTTCGTTTGTGCAATGTTCCTGGAATGGATGCTCTGTGCAGAATCTATGGGACTTCTTTAATGATGGGCCGGACTGCATGGAATCCGTTGTGAGGTGATTTCAACTTGGCGCTTTGGTTCAACTTTTCTGCATCAATAAGTATGTGGACACAGACAACAGCGATGACACAGGAATAATTAACGTACACAGGTATTTTCGAGACATCTGCAACTGCTGGGAAGAGATGACTTCGTGTGCGGATCCTCACAATGGTTTGCGGATGAGATGGATACATATACATTTGCATTGTGCTGGCTGTTGGAAACTTTCTTGGCCAAGCTGCATGGGAACCGTAGGCAAAAGGGGGTATGGAAGTATAAACTCCCGTTGATACGGTGAACATGTGCTACGTTCCTCCTCAACTTGGTGTGGCAGTTGGAATTTGGTGACAACCATGTTGTTTTTGGGCAGAGCTCTGGATTTGCTGCAGAATGGTAGAATAGCATCTGGGCACTGGGAACGATATATTTTTCGTTGTTTTCTGGACTTTGCATGGCGCTGCCAAGAATCTGGTGATGATGTTTATGGACGAGAACTCGAACGTATGTTTTTGAAATCTACTTGCTGCATGCGTTGCATTTGCAAGTGAATTTGGACGTTTTGGTGCAACTTCGTTTTTCCTGGATGTGCACGATGGTTTTTCAACAACAACAAACCAAACTGTTTTTCTGCCAAACTGCGTTTTGCATTTTCGAGAGCTGCATGTCGTTTCTCAACAACTTTGTGGAGAAGAAGAATGTTTTTGGAATTTGTGAGAAGTTTGTGATGAGTTTGAAGTGATTTGGAAATGTTTTTGGAGATGTTGGTGAATTCAACAACTGCGAATTCACCACAGTGAAGCTGGACAACAGTTTTTTGGTATGATGAGAATCCGTGTGATTCCGCTGCTACTCTCAAGACGGGACAGCTGAAAGAAGATCAACATAGCACAGTGCATGTTGCATGACAGACACGTCGCTTTCGTCGTTTTTCTGTGTGGAAAAGAATTGAGTGCTTGTGCAGTGAGAGCCGTTGTTTTTGGGGAACTGTTTTGCTTAAACACTCGACGTGGTGAGGCCGACCCCAACGACGCGTCCGCGAGCGACTAGTGGTTGTAATTAGGTCCTGTTGGATTTTCGCAAGTTTGGCATCTGCAAGTTGCAGAACGCGCTGATGGTTGCATCTTGGGCCAGAGCACTGCTGTTGATCTGAGTCCTTCCACCCATCCGAAACGTGCACCCCTGGGCCTGCCTGAGCCCTTCGCCACACCCTTTGCTTTGGCTTTCGCTCCAGCCATCAAGTCCCAGAAAAACATTTCAGTTTGCTTGGATCCCCAAGGAGTGAGAAAAGAGATGGCCTCCCTGACCTGCCGACGGTTGGCTTGGACATGCACAACATCGACGTGCTGTTGGTGCACTTCCCGCCGGGCCAGCGCCAACGAGCTGAGAGAATCAGGGAAGTTTCACTGTTCTCTGAGCTGAGTCTCAGGGAGTTCATTTTGTGTCATTTGATGGTACTGTTCCGGGACAACCTGATTTCAACTTTGATTTTCCATTGTGGTGGAACAGGCAGGACCAACGTGAATGCGCGGTGTTCAATGAAATTGTGATCCATAAGAAACATCAAGAAACTTGGGGTAGTTTCTGTGAACAATGGTTTGTGAATCAAAAATGTTTTCCCCATAGAAACCGTTGAACACTGGCGTGGTGTACAGATTTACTTTTCCCGCACTCAAAGCAAATCTGAGGCGGGGGATACATTTTCAATGTGCGCATGACCGATTTACATGGCCACTGCGCAAGGATGACACGCATAGCTACTGGTTACCTCAGTGGCTCAAATGTGAAGGACAAAAGACGCTGCCCTGCGTTCTCCATGCCAAACATAGAAGGAGCAGGCCTTAGAACCATGCTTCAAAGGCCTGAGGTGGAGTGCAAACGTTTGTGATCATTCCTCATGTCTAGCTTCTTGCCAGCTTTCAGTTCACTTTGCATGGCAATCTGCAAGGATGACGCGTTAAACCCTTCAGAAGTGTAGCGCTGTTTCATAGTAATCGGCCCTTTAGGGCTTAGGAAAAATTCTTGCCCTGTCGGCCGTTTGTTCGCAAAATGACGATGTGGGCGCGTGTGATTTGTTTTGATGAGCGCAATTGACCCTCTTCCCCAAGTGGTGGCGGTTTTCACACCAAGTTCGGCCCAACGGAGACACAACATGGGGAACATTGCTTCAAACAAAGCGTCATCGATAGCAAAAAAAACGTGGAAAACACCAATGAAAACGGGCACTTTCAGGATTTTGGATTGGGCTGGCTATGTCCTCCATTTTGAAGCCAGTATGGGCCTCAACTTGGGCCAAAGTTGCTCCCAAATCGGTCCAAGTTGGGGTTCCAAATTTTGGGATTGCACTGACACGCTTACAAAACACTGCTTCCTTCGCAACCTATTTCACACCAACCAACAAACACGCATCACTGAAACATTGTAGGGAACACATTTACTATGTATCAGGGGGGCTCTAGCAGTGGAGCCACCGACATTATTTGGACACATCCCCACATTGCAGGATCACGCCAACTTGAATCGTGTTTAGACAAGGGGAATCAAAATTTACAAACGCCAAACGCTAACATTTCCAGTTTAGGAGTTCTGGTCATTTGCGATTTGTTGGTTGACTATCCCATTGTTTGTGCAGAAAATCGTGATTTCCGATTCGAACCTGCCAAAAGACTGCAAGTTTGCACGCGCAAAAACCAAGGACAACATTTATTTTCCAAGAAGGCATATGTAGGTGTAGTGCAAATTGCAACATGTTAGTTTGAATTTACACTTTCAGTCGGCTAAGATCGTGTGTAGGTACTGTTGTTTTCATCCATTTGCACATCATCTCATCAACTTTTGAGCCGACATGATGTTGACGCCATTTCGGCCCCAAGCCTGTCGCCGTCATTTTGCCATTCCTGCCGTGGTTTGAAGGGCGCACAGGGGAGGTGCCCCCCAAAAAGCAGCAGGCGCTGGGAACGGGTGGAAACTGCGGCATGGAGGGACGAATTCTGGAGTAAAACAACGCCATAAACCACCCATTTGGGAATGGTTTATACCACTTATTTAAGGTGATTTGGAGGATGGTTTATTTACCCAAATGTATTGTTTTTTGCCAACAAGGATGATTATATCGAACCCATTGAACAACCAGGAGAGTTTGAGTGCTGCATGTGTGGTTCACCTGGTGTGCCTCATTGAAATCGTAGGATCCGTTCATTGGATATTAAACAAAACACTTTATTTTGAGTTCCCAATTTGAACCAATATCCACGTGATTCCTACTGGTGATTTGCAGTGCCTCATGGACCATGTTTTGCATATGTATATATATATATATTATGATATGTATATACACGCATATACATGATACATACATATAGACACTCATCATTCAAAAAAACATGTCCACAACTCATACTTGCCATTGAATTGGTTTTCAGACTCAACCCTGCGCTCCTTGGAAGAAATGGCCATTGATTCCTTGTCATTTGGACATCACCTTTTTTTTGCTGTTCCACGTCCATGGGATAAGCAATGGCTCTGTGAAAGTTTGTGGGGATACCTCCAAAAATTGCATTTTACAAATTTATGATCATGTCATTGTCATAATGACGAGTCTATGGGGATAGTGGAATATAATTGATATAGTGGATAAAGTGGATACAATGGATATACATAACGGATAAAATGGAGAAAATGGATATCATTGGATATATAACCAAAACACACTAGATAGGTTTGTCCAAAAAATATGTTTCATAGTAGTTTACAACCATGTGAATGTGGACTGGTTGACCATCTATTTTTTGGGGTACCCATTTTTAATTTTCAGACACACCATTCGTTGGGGTGTAGGGCCCGCTTTCCAGCCCACTTCTGTTTACGTTCCAAGAAAAACAACAAATTGTGGGTGATAATCCAATTCTACCCCCTTTGATGACACATTCGTTGCGGAGTTTCCAGTTGTCGAAAAAAATCTGCCCAGAAAACCCAAAACTTCACTACCTGAACTGACAAGTTCCCAAATGCCCAACCCTACTGGTGGATGCTGTTAGGAGATATGCCCCATGAATGTTTCATTAGCATCCCATTAATGTTCAAATGATATCCCACTTCTTTCTAGTTATATATGTCCTTTTTTTTTTCGCTATGTATCATGGATGTTTGGTTCTCCTCGATCCGAATTATAAGTCAGCGAATAACATCTCAATCCATTCTTGACATAGGAAGTGGTTGAGAACCCCGTATATTGACATAATCTTCCATTCATAGGCTATTTTTTGAAATATTCTGGATATTCGTACAGTAATCCACAACAAATCAGAATATACATAATGATCCAACATATACAGTAGAGCCAGTGATAGGGGTACCCTCTGATTCATAGGCTATTCTTTAAAAGTTCATAATCCACAACAAATCAGAGGCTACCTCTATCACTGGCTTTCCAACATCTCGACAGGATGCTGCGCGGCGGAGGCCGGGATTTCAGCGATTTCACATGCATAAATACCTCTGTTCATGGGTTGATTTAGGGTCTAGGGTTATGAACTACCCTCTGGTAAACTAACTTAACTATGGAAAATTACCATTTTTGATGGGTAAATCCACCATAAATGGCCATTTTCAATAGCAAACTGTTAGTTTACCAGAGGGTAACCCATCTTTTTTTTGGGGATACTGACTTCCCAACCAGTATGTAATGGGATGGGGCCTGGGTCTATGGCTGTCATGGCTTCCAGTTGTTAGATGTGGGAAACCCAATGCCAGAAACCTACCAGTTGTTTTTTTTTTTCTGCCCCCCAAAAATGGCAATTTTGGGGATGGTTCATTATTGGGTTTACCACAGGAATTGGAGGGTTCCAGTTCCTTTTGGGTCAATCTTTAGGTCTGTGGTGTTGAGATTGAAAGGCAATGAATCATACAGACGAAAGGAAGCTTTGCCCCGTTGGAAATCGAGTCTTCCATTTGTTCACATACTCTTCGGTTAAACTGACATAGCTACTTAAGCTACTTAACTGCGGAACATCCACCAATTATAGCGGTTTTTTTCCCATGAAGAAGCTTGACTTCGTTCGGGGACTTTTTCCAGCGGCCCGCCACCTTTAGTTTGGACAGCAGGTAGTCTGCAATCCTGCGACGAAAGTGTAGCACATTCCATCCAACGGTTAATCATTCATTTCCCTATAAAAATGACGATAGTTGGAGGCATACGAACCATTTCCAGACAATGTAATATGTGTTAATCACTGTTCAATTCCAGTGATGCCACCATTTTGGGTGTCCAAAATTCAAAAACACCACAAGATCCCTTGGTAAAAACCTGCTGAACTTGGGAACTTGTTCTTGGAAAAATATGTGGGGTATCGGTTTTTCGCATCATTTTTTTCGACAAAACCAGGTATTTTTGAGGCCAAGGAACCCAAGCATGGCCGCCAGGTATGTTGTACATCACGATTCTTAGTCTATTGGCTCCGTTGGCCTCTGCTGGTGTCAAGGGATTCGGCATTATCTTCAGCGTTCGGGAGCCCAGAAACTGGCCGAAAAGATTGGAAAGATGCGGTTAAAATCAAACGCAGATTTCATATCAAAGTATTTTGTGGAATGACATAAATATCAGATATATCAGAATATATCAATCAAATATCAGATATGATGTGAATTCCAATGGATATCAGATAGTATATATGATGTGAATTCCAATGGATATCAGTAACCAGCTAGTAGTATCAGTGAATTCCAATGCATATCAGATAGTATCACTAGTAGCATCACATCATATTTGGTTCAATGTGTGAGAATCTGATGCGCCGAGCGCCGAGGTTGAGCCAATGAAGGGCTCCACCGGGGGTGGTACCGAGCTCCACATCGCAGGCGCAGGCTTTGCCTATGTGACACAGGTGGGGGCCCGCCCCTCGTTGGTGCGTTGAAAAAACTCCGAGATTTCACTGTTTGGGTTTATGGTAGATATATCGAACTACTTACTGTGGTTTATGAAAGCAACTGCTTTAAGCAACTAACATAACTGGGGGGGCACCACCTTGTGAAGATGAACATGGAATTTTCCCGATGGAAAATCCACTACTGGAGAATCAATTAAGGGAAGATGTTTTTTTTTTTTGAGAGGCATCCTCAAAAAAATACCGATCTAAAATTCTGTTTGCGACCATTTTATTTTGGCTCCTATTTTCTCTCTTCGACTCTACTTGGTGGTTCATCCCACGAATCGTGTGGGTAGGTTAGTTCACCCCAGTTGTAAGTGGATTAACCCTACTTATCCCATTTATAACCAAGGTTATAACCTACTTACTAAGTGGGATGGTGAACTTCAGCAAATCCACGACATGGTGGTGAACTACCCAGGGTAAGGTAGAATAAACCCCTACCTGACCTGAAATAAACTACGCAGGGTGAGGTAGAATAAACCCCTACCTGACCTGAAATAATTGGGGTTGTAAACCATTTACTAACCGGGATGAGCTACCACATATGTATATATTACATATATGAATATATACATATATATATATATGTATATACATATACATACATATATATATATACACGCATATATATATATATATGTATATATATATAATATGGCTTTGTACCCCTTGGTGCGAACCTTCAACATCCATGGCCTTCATGGCTCACAGCAAACTTTGTTGGCTCAACTTGGCTGCTTCGAGACGGCTGAATTTTCCGAAACTGGCAGAATTTTTACACAGAAATATAGTGATGACAATAATTTTCAGAAGGACAACATTGTCTGAACAAGTCGGTTGTGTTTTGATCCAGTATAGATTGGATCTCTTCATACTATTTATTTTATTTATTTTGGTTCCCACCTTGGAGGGTAGAGAAAGGATGAAAACTGGCAACGCAATTTTCAAAGGATGCCGAAGTTTTTTTGGAACCTGGAAAATATGTGGGAAACATCACCTGACCTATACTATCCTGGAAACTCTTACGTATCTTTTTTGATGCTTTTGTTGGGGTTGGTATATATGTATATAGAAGTACACCCCCTGAGGGTTGGAAATGAACGAAATCGCCTGGATATTGGCTATCCCTTCCACTTCTTGGCCTTTACGAGTCCAATTGGGCGGATGTTGTCTTGGAATCACTGACCAATGTGGAAGGGAGCAAAGAGCTCTACCCCCCTCTGGGTAGCCCAAAAATGGCTGGAAAGATGTGTAGGAACCGTTGACCGTTGTCAACGGTGATTCTCTCACCTATCAACCATATTTGTCGAAACCAAAAAATAAGATGCGAGTAAAACCCAATTCTTGTTGCTCCACCTCGCATTTTCCCTTGGTTAAATCATAACTGTTCAGCGTTTTCAGGTCCTGGTCGGAGGAAAACCTTGCCATATCCTTGAGCAGATGACGAAGGCGATTTCGGAGAAGGCTTTCATGTGGATTTTAACGGCCATTTCCAAATTGTCGTAACCCTCCAATGATGCAGATGCAGAAAATAGTGATGTTTTTGGCACCACAATTAGGCGGATCGGATTTGACTTTGAGGCATCTTCTTTTTGATTGCGAAAAAACAATTAGAGGCATCTTCTTTAGATAAAGCAAACGCGCTAAGAAACAGTCAGATTTTGTCATATTTTTTCGATATTCGTCATCTCTTTTCTTGGTTGATCCACCTACTTGGTTGACCACTTTGTTTTGGTGACAGCAAAGGCTTCCTGTGAGAATTTCTTGGAAGACTAAGCCATGATGTACTCGTACTCCTCCAACCCGAGACGGGTTAGCCACGCTGCTTCTTCATGGCTTTGTTTGGAAATAGGATACCCAAAATCGGTATGTCATCATTTTGCCTATACCAGTGGCAATTTGGCGGGTATACATGGGTATACCCCATTTTCAGACAAACGTTCATGTATATGGAATATTTCCCAATTATACATGGAATAGCCCCCGATGTATGGGCTAATATAACTAATATACAGCCCTGATTTTAGGGGCCCCACATCCCAACTGAAAAAAGCACCATGGTTTTACCGTTTTACCCGTCAATATCTCATTCAATCAGAATGTTGAATGGTTAAATCAACTTAAATCACTTAAATGATATTAGATCTCCCTCCTTGATGGTTCAATCCCATTTGTTTTGAGTCATGTGGGCGATGCCATAAACCTACCATTGGGGAACGGTTTGAATTCCATAGACACATGGTGACTTGGGGATGGTGCAGAGTCACCTGTCCGCAGGATGGTGAGCTGACGGCCTTCACACCTGCCCTGCCACAAGGCCGGCGACGAACTGGGAATTTGACCAAAGACACTAGAGATTTTGATCATCAAAAGGTCATTCTTACCGGGAGAAAAAAAAACAAAAAAAACACGTTGCATCTACCAGACTCCAGGGTTTGCCTTTGATGGTGTGTTTTTGTTTGCCAATGGAAAATTCCACTGGTGACTCCATAGGACCTTTGAAGCAAATGCAACTTGTGGCCATAGATTGGGGTGAATTGGTCATAAACTCGCGGATCAACAAAAAAAGGGAAGCCCTTTATAAACTATCTAGGTATTTTCACATACCTTCTGATTTTCATACCATCGAATGGATGTTTTTTTTTTGTCTCAGAATTGGAGTTTACCCAATTCAATTCACAGCAGTTTTCCTGGGGAAATGTTTTTTCAATTCTGCTGGGATGGAAGTTTTGTGTTCTAAATTATGAGACGACCCAATGGCCCAATCTCCAAGTATTGCTGGCCGTGAGTTTGACCAGCGTCATCTATGTCAGCATAGATTTTCGGGGAATACTGATGGACATGACATAGAAATCACAGGTGAGTCTTTGTGAACTGCAATCCACAATTCCCCTCCAGTAAACTAACAGTTTGCTATGGAACATAACAAGTTTTGATGGGTAAATCATGGTAAATCATCTTCCATGGTTGATATATCCCGATACAGCCCACCATCTTAGAATGGTTATTTACCATAATCATACCACTAAGAGACTTGAGCTGGTCACTTTTTTTTTTCCTTTTCTATGTTTCACCGAATAACATTCTATCCATCCATCATTTTGGCGGATCTGAGCATCCACAGATTGGTGAAACACGTTGGTTGACGTTGGTTGATAGGGAAAATTGGACGACAGACCGGGTCTAAGTGTAGTTGATTTCGGGGAAATCTAAGATTAGGTATGCTGATTGGTGGTTTGGAACATGGCTTTTATGACTTTCCATATAGTTGGGAATGTCATCATCCCAACTGAATTTCATTTTTTTCAGAGGGGTAGGTATACCACCAACCAGATTAGGTATGTCTATAAGTGGGTAATATATCACTACGTTCAGCGCTCAAAAGCTACGTTAGTGGGGCATGATCCTCTACTGAAATGGGTAATATATCAGTACGTTCAGCGCTCAAAAGCTACGTTAGTGGGGCATGATCCTCTACTGAAATGACCCGGTTCGTTCGGGCGTCTGAGTCAGGTTGGCTGAGTTAGTTGAGTTGTGTTCAAATCTACCCTTGAATTCAACATGGCAGATACGGGATCAGATGAGTTTCGCTACGTAAAAAAATCTACCCTTGAAGCCTTGAATTACAGCAATCTACCAGTAGTTCGCAGCAAATCCTCCGTTTCGTAGCTTGTTGTAAGATACGGCAGTGTTTCGAATCGTGAAACGAACTGGTGATTTCTGGTTGAACTGGGATTGTTGTCACCAGGCCTTTCCTCATGACAATTTACGATTTTCCAAAACGATTCTCGGAGAGTCGCCATGATTTTTCCGGAACAGGATCTACCGGATTGAAATAATTTTCTGGTGACTCGTGATCTGCCAAAAAAGAGAAATTTTCTTGGGGGTAGCAGCGATTTTTTGGGAATGTAAATGCTATCAATAGTACTGATTAAATATAATTACAGATGATTAAGTATAATAATGATTGGATCACTAGTGAAATGATTGGATCCCCAAAGTAGTACTGGATCAGGATCTGATCATTTTTTGAGCCAATCTTTGCAGGATTTTACAGTATTACGGGGATGGGATTTCTCAAGATTCCCATTCCAATTCCCATGGAAAATACCCTATTTTTGGACAATTTTTGCAGAAGATATGTTGCTATCTAGTCTACATTAGGGTGCCTTGAAGCCTTACCTAGGTTGGTTTAGTTTGGTAGGCTAACTCGGAGTTGTGGTAGATATATCAAACTAGCTACCCTGTGGTAATCAAACATGGCTTGCTGAAAAATTATCCATAGATCATTTTCCCCTTTAAAACCCTCCAATTATAGAGTATTTCCCAGCCACTTTTGACCGGAGGGTAACCATTACTAATCGTTATGAATCATGATACATTCCTGTTATATCCCTTCAAAAACTCTCATTTTCAATGCTTACCCTCTGGTAAACGTTTACACAACTATGGAAAATCACCATTTTATAGCTGGGAAAACTCACTATTTCGACTGGGCCATTTTCAAGTTTGCAAACTGTAAACGTTTACCAGGCCCGGTCAATGATTGACAGAGGAAACATGTCCATTAAAATAGCTAGCTCACTGAGGCAAGCACGATGTTGAGGTGGTGTTTACCTCAGGCCCCCTCGGGAGAACACTGGGTGAGCAGGAAGAGGAAACTCTTGGAGAATGGAGTGGTGATGAAAAAGAACTATAGATGGGGCAACAAAATATAGAACCAATAGTAACTAAAGTTAGATGGGGCAACTCAATATCAAACTATTTAGTTACTAAAAGTTCTAATGGACTATCATTAGTTCTATATTCTATGGGAAAATAATATATAAGTTATAAAACTATAGAACCTTCTCGTCCGAAGCAACTTATAATCCCACACCCATGAGAAATATATGAACAATAGCTCCTTAGAAACCAAGATTTAGCATGGGATTTACTCATTTTTTTCATTTTGGGCCGTGAAAACAAACAATTCGAGTGATGCGATTCCTGACATACGAACAGTTGATGATCCCAATGCTGTGGCTTCAATCCATCAAGAATGGACAGTTGAACAGCTGCAATTTGCAGCAAAACATCTGCTCAACTTCCATCGATGAAAAAGGTTTTCATGATGGGGAATGACCCCTAAAATGGCCTGAATTCTGTCGAATCTTTCTAGTTCAGCTAGACTTGTAAAACTGGCCGTGGTTTCAGTTCAGATGACAATCCAGAATTTACACAGGGGTGTGTCTGAAAATGGTGAGTTTAAACGTCCAAAATGGCAATTCTAATAGTTGGTGGTTCATCCCAGTGGGAACCCCAGCGACAAAAGTGTCGCAAGTAGAGTGATTTTTTCCAACTTTAAGTTGGCTGAACGGGTCGCCACTTTAACTCATCCCCACATGTTTTTCTACAAAAAAACATTTACCCTGCGGTAATCAAACGTAGCAATGGGAAATCTCCCATAAATGGAAGGTTTAATGGGAAAAACATCGAACTTGAGTAAATAGAGGATTTTGCATTTAGCCATGTTTGATTGCCGGGGGGGTTTTCTGATACCATTTACTATTATGATGGACTATTGACAATTAGAATTCACCAGAAATTTTCTCGTGATGTATTGTCATATTCAAATTATCCCATTAAATCCCACTAAATCCCATTAGGTCCCATGAAATCCCGTTAAATCCCGTTAAACATGTTTATCTTTCGTCAGTTTTGACCGTTTTGACGTCCACTTATATGGCCGCGCCATGAAGCCGCAGGTCATCGAGCGAAGTTAAGAGATGGACAGTTCCAGAGCCACTCCAGGCGACTGCAGCGATGGAAATTTTTTATGTCATTAATGGGACATTGATGGGACGTTAATGTGGATATGATTGACGAAAAAAAGCGACTTGTTAGATACTTGAACTCGTAAACTCGTACTTTATATGTTTTTTTTGCAAATTCAATAGGAATAGTATCTACTATATCACCAGCTTAGAATGTAACTTGTTGTCTATCTGAGATTGGCAATGTAATGATGGTAAAGCAACAGGAAAAGAACAGCATAACGAAATCACCAGGAAGCTGATTTCAACATGGTTTTTGTTGGTTAATGATGGTAAACCAATGATTTAGAAGCAATAGTAAGCCATGGTAAAGATAAGAAATGGTTGATAAATTACTTTACCATTGCTTAACCCCTGAGAAGAAACCAATGGTAAGTGATCATAAATGGATATAAACAGTATACCAGATCTGGCCCCGCAACATGTTTTCACAGTGTTGGGCTATGGCTGCACAATTTTTTGAAAAGTCCCTTAGTTTACTACTAGACATGACGTTTTTTTTTTTTGGAGGTCCATTGGTAATCCGAAAAATGGCGCCAGGCCACCATGTGTTGTAACTGCATCATGGAGCTGTTTTGAAAATGATGGAGATCGGAATCTCTGAGAGACAGGGTTTGGGAGATTGAAACATCAGAAAAACTTGGTGAAACTTTCCGCCCATGAGCCTGAAAGTAGGACCCCAATATATATTTTTTGGGGGCACACAGTGGCAGAGCCATAAAGTCTGGAGGCTTCGGCCGGCCCTTCGGCCTCGGTGTACCCGGTCCTGCCAGATATACACCCGTGGTGAACACGATTTCACAAGCCGCCTCGGTGATTAGCAACGTTTGGGGCCCTTGGATTACCAGAAGCGTTGGAAGCGTTGGTGAACCAGGGGGAACCTTGGGCAGGGTGCGTTTGGTTAGCCCAGTTGGGTGACGTTTGTTGATTTATAAAACCATGAAGAATGGTATAGAATAGTTACTGCATATCCCTCATAAACCATAGTTATCACCCAAAAAAACCCACTGCTCATAAGTATCATAAGTTTGGTTTATAAAGCCATGAACTAGTCAACTAGTATCCCCTTCATCAAGTTAACAGTTCATCAAGTGAACTGTGAGTCAACTTCGCTATGGTTTTTATGTGAAGGCCCACCTTGGCTTACCCGGCTCGATAAACGAGTATGAAAAAGATGTGGAAAACCCATCCTTTGGTGAATGATCGAACAGTTCAGAAGGTGGGTTTAAACCACATCTATGTGAGTTTACACATTGGGGTATTTTGAGTATTTAAGTCCAACTCAAAAAGGGAGTCAATGGTGTTGAGCCACACTCAAATTCTGGGAAATCCAGAAAACTTGCTGCGATCCATGTCCAACCAACCCACAAAAATGATCCTTGGGGAAGTATTGAAATAGATATTATTTCCAGAGATCACTCGCAACCTTAAGGAGACTATCTCTTTCCTGAACGGTTTCGAACATTTATCCGTTCATATTCTATCACCATCAGCAACAAAAAGCGACATCAACCGGGATATTTCATCACCATCATCACCAAAAGCGTCATCACAATTATATTTGACATCATGGACATCTATGTAGTCCTCATAGATAGAATACAGCAACTTCAACAGAAACTCACTAAAATAGGAACGTTTTTGAAAATACCATATTCTATCTACTTCAGAATGATTTGATATATATCTATATATGTATATATGTATATATGTATATATGTATATATTTATATATGTATATATGTATATATGTATATATGTATTTATATATGTATATATGTATATATGTATATATGTATATATGTGTATATATATATATACACAGGCACGCCAACGGTTCAAACTGTTTGGCATGAAAACGGAACGTCTCCCTTGTCACGGTTACGTGCCTTTGTCACGTGTCGAAACTCGAATTCTCACGTGCCCTTAGGTCACGTGGCGGGGTGACTTGAAGAAGATGTTGGAGGTGGGCATGAACGAAATCTTTCGAGATACAGGAGCGGCCGCGGTCGGAACAGTCGGAACCGGGGGGAACCGTGGACCTTTTTTTTTGGAGGCGGCAATCTGGTAAATGTTTACATAACTATGGAAAAACACATCACCATTTTGAATGTTTTTTGTTTCAACGAACTTTCTATTGCAATTTTCAATAGATATGTTAATCTACATTGATTTGATGTTGGTTGTTTTCTTTCGGATTTGGAGACGATCAGACTCTACGTAGTTCCGGGCGACCTCGGCTAGCACTGGGACCTCAAAAACAGTGAATCATCCGATCTGGGTGATTGAAAAGTCAGTAATATGAAAGATGATCTCTAGATCATCTATCCACACACATATCACACATACATATATATACCCTCTGGTAAACTAACATAGCAATTGAAAATGGTCATTTATAGTGAGTTTTCCCATTAAAAATGGTGATTTTCCATAGCTATGTTAAATTACCAGAGGGTATATATATAATTATATATAGAGATGATCTATCTAAAGATCATTTTTGAACGATCGATTTGTCCTTGCGTTGCTGGAATGACTTGCCTTTTGAGCTACGTACACGGCTAAGTTTTGACTCCCAGAAGGAATCACAAGAGATGGCTCCGGATGAAAGCCAGATTTCTTTTGGGCAAACGATTGTGAGCCCTGCGCATGTGTATATATGTATATACAACCTATGATCACCATATATATATATATATATCACCTATGATCAGCATATATATATGTATATAATTTATGGTCTATAATCATATATAATCATAGGATTTGGATTTTTGCACAGGCTATCACATTGGTGATAGTCTGCCTTCGTAGTCCTGTCTGCAAGTTTCCATCTGGGTGTCAAACTTCCTGGTGGGTTCAAGACTCCCAGCCTGCCGTTGTGGAAAAGTAGCAGGCTGGAGACCACTGTGGACCTTCAGCCACGGGGAAATCTACTTTCGTAAAATGGCTAGTTCTCAGGGTAAACAAATGGTGGTTAAATCTACTTGAGGGATGGTGGAAAAATTTTAACTTTTCCACTTTCCACCATTTATTTGGATGATAATCCCCTAGGGCTTTCATGACGACTCTCACCGAATTTTCGGCTGGCGACCCCAGGAGTTTTGGGCTTTGTTTAAAAACTAGACCATTTCGGCAGGTGAAAAGAGAAATGCGACAGAGATCATGCACGCCTATTTGGGGACTGGCATTGAGATCTTGTCGGACAAAGGCCTGGTGTGAGAGCTGGTGCTTGGAGTTTTTCGTTGAAAATTGGTCACTAAAATGCGAATCAATGAAGGTGCTTGGGGTACCCCAGAGTACATGAACCGGGCAGTTGGGAAACGCAGTTTGAACATGTGAAGGACGGAATGATTGATTTCATCCTCTCGCGTCACTGGGGCTGGGATGTCTAATATGGCAGTTGTAGATGATTGACCCAATTAATCAGCATTTCCGCGGCTTGTACTCGTGGCTGAGTTGTGTTCAACAGAATTAGTAGTTGCAATCTGGTACTCCAGTCATAAGTGGATATATATATTCATATATAATATAGTCATAGTTATATATAGTCATTGTGGTTATATATATACATATATATATACAACCTACTGATGATTACAGCAAAATATGAGCCTGGTACTGCTGAGACTTGGAAGTTTTGGGCCTGACTCCGACGTCACCACGATTCACCACGATGTCGCCATAGATCGCGTCCAAGGGGGAACTAGCCCATGACCCAACATTTCGGGGTCAACTAGTTTTATTTTTTTTCACCTTTTTCGTTTTCAGCAAATCATTGCATCGCAAAACCATCATTCCAAGAGTTGAAAAAGTTGGATTATATACCTGGATTTGCTGAATAAAAGTTGGACTATATCACCCTTGTTATTTGTTTAACAAGTTGAACAACCATAAGAGTCCATGTATTTTGGGGGATGGTCATATCACCATTCTTGGGGAATTCAACTGGCCAATTTTTTTTTACGCATTCCCAACAATTGGAATGACCACTTGGAAGTGCAGTTCCAGTCATAAGTGGATATATATATATCGTCATAATTATATACATATATATATAGTATTATATATATATAGTATATATATACATATATAGTCATAGTGGATATATAGTGGTTATACCCCAACTTATGGACTCTTATGGTCGTTCAGAACCATGGTTATGGCCATTTGTAACGTCAACTTCACCCCAACGCAGAACCAAGCAACTTGACCTTAAACCCTCCTCGCGTTGCCAGCTGGGCGCGACGAATTTCGTTGCGACATTCTGGAGACGCCGACCGAGACGGAGGGTGTCCGGAGACCCATTGGATGAGTTGGGCAGTCACGTTGAGAAAATGGCAGACGAATGAAGATCAACCAAGTTTCCTCCATGGATTTTGAGCTCTTTTTGAAGTCACCGACACTTGCCTTTCTCTTTGGGTTTTGGGGAAGTCACTGTCCTGGCTGGGGGTACCCCCAGTCGTCACCATAGGTTTTAATACTGAAATGGTCGTTTATGACTCGGATGATTTAGGGGTAGCCCCATGACTTAGGACCCTTAGGACACCTCCAGATCATCATCACATCATCATGTATATATATATATATCTATGGTCATCTATGGTCATCTATGGTTTATGGTGCTCACTATTTATCACTAATATTCATATGATTCATATATCATCCCCAAAAAATCATCCAGTTCTAGTCATTTTGTCATCCACAAACAAACCTCCCAGGTGTGCGAAGTTTCCGCTGGAACCCCGGCAGGCTCGACGCTAAGTTGCTGGTGAACGGATGGTGATTCCCCGAGATGGTCATTTCATAGGTCAGAAACGACCCATCTTGGTATATGGGTGTGTCTGAAAATAGTGTACCCCTAAACCCAATGGTTTTGCTGATCATTATCCCTATTAAATGGCTATAATTGGGAATATACCCTATTTTCAGACAAACCCATATTTTCAAGACCTCCCAGCGAGTCAGGTACAAGTCACCCAAGTCTTGCAGGTTACTACAACTTCACCTACGTTTTGCAGGACGGTGTCAGTATGAACGGATACGGCAAATCTGTCTGGGAGGTGCACTGGGGTCATTTTGCGCAATGGCATGGTGTGGCTCACTCAAAGATCTGACTTAGGTAGATCTTGGAGGGTGAGCACATACGTATATATACATATATACATATATACAGTATTTAACTATATCATATCTATGTGTACATACATGTATACAACTGTGTATATATACATATACAAATAATATTACACTTATTAGACGTTCTATGTATTTAGACCATGGAATTTGCGGATGCGAGGGATCGTGAGCGATTCTTGTGGTAAACTTTGTGGTGCTGAATGATGAAGCATAGAACAACTAAACTCCAGTAAAAGCATGGTTTATAATGTAGAAGCAACAAAATCCTGCAAAGTGGTACCCCCCAGTGATGTGATTGTTGGTTTATAAACTTTATAATCCCGATGAACAAGTTCGATATATGGGTATGGATCAATACCTATGAAAATACCATTTTTAGTGGGATGAACATCCATTTACCAGCTATTTTGATGTTCACCAGGGGTATAAGGTTTTGACACACTGCCAGATATCCATAAACCCAAACGTGAACTCGGAGTTATAAACGCACCAACGTAGCGTTCACGAACTCGCTGGGGCACCCATTGTCCTGGAGACGTCCAATCTGGTCATGGTCATCTCCTTTGGCGAAATGGCTTGGTTCTTTTCATGGCGGGATACAGCAAAATGACCATAAGATGACCATACAAGGTGGTGCCCCCCCAGTTATAAATTGGTTTATAAACCCCATGAAAACTAGTTCGATATATCACCAACAAAAACCATAGTTAAGGTATTGGAGTTATTTGCACCAACTTAGCGTTCTCGAACGGGGGCACCACCTTGTAAGATGAACACATGTTGATGGGACTTCGGGGCACTCCCAGATATTTTTCTCCAAAGCCAGAAACGGCTGGGAATCCACTGGTGAAGCCATGCAACTGGCTTTTATCCCATTTGGGGTGTAGAAAAAGGTAGGGTCATACACCAACTGGATCCCGCACATCCGAAAATCGGAGATCAGAATTTGTGGTACCCTCTGGTAAACGTTTACATAGCTATTGAACATGGCCATAGAAATAGTGGATTTACCCAGCTAGAAAATGGTGATTGTCCATAGTTTTTTGTTAACGTTTACCAGAGGGTATATCGTTTCACAAAAAGATCATCCATCTAGATATTGGGGGAAACCTGACCATCACAATTCTTGTCACCCAACGCTTCACCTTCTGGTCATGTGGTCGCCAGGTTCAAGGCCTTCCGTACGTCTCCATGGATGGTCAGGAATATGCCATTGAGGTGCCAGCGGGGGTAGGATGCCATGGATGCCATGGTTTTCCCTAACCCCCAGCGGTTTGTTGGGAGATTTTTGGCCCCTAGAACATCTACAACTATGGTGAAATACATCCTCTTAAAGTGAAGCCTGGAACTGCACTGAACCAAGCAGGAACCTTATCTATACATGGTTGAGTTTACATATCTTGTCTTGATTGTCTTGGTTTAGTGGAGGGTAAGTTTAATAAACTAGCACCCAGTAATTAGGTAAATTAGGTAGGCCATTGGACATGGATTTTCCGTGTTATGGTATAGGTTGTCAACCAAAAAAAAAGGTAGGATTTACGATTACCAATGGCGAAGCTACCCCTACAGGTCAAAGATAACTGATGCCCCCAAAATTGTGTATGTAAGCCGCCACTCACATAAAATCCAAGAAAAAGACACGGTTTTCTTTGTGGATGGTTACAGTAATATATTTTGACCTCAAGTTCGGTGCACAGAATCACAGATTTGCGTACATTTTCTTCATGATCGCATTCGGTTCGGACACCTGTTCTGGCTTACATGGTTTCCACGCACAGATAGGTTGATGGGTTGATGGCTAGGTGAAGCGTATTTGGGGAGGACCGTTCATGACTTCCCTAACTAAACCTCCATATTTCTTGGGATATATATATATATACATAAGCCCTATACCTATGGTGAAATCATCACTTAGTGTAACATGGAACTGCACTTCCAAGTAATCCATTGGAAGACCCTTTGCCACCAGAATCTCGCAGAAACCTTGGGGCCGTTCATCCAGTGGAAGGTTTTCAAGCGTTGGGAGTGAGTGGAGAATATGAAATTGGACGAAATTGAAAAACCATCTTTTCACATATGGGTATGGGTCAATACCTATAGATACATTTTTAGTGGGATGAACATCCATTTACCAGCTATTTTGTGGTTCACTAGGTACCAGGGTTTTGACCCATCCCCATATTAAACAAAATATTCTCCAAAATATTCTCCAACATATTGGAAATATGGTTCTTTCTGAGTTAAATCAGCTCTGTGATTGTACAACTCTATCCACCGATCCACTTCTTTAAGCAACCCATCCACCGTGGCCGATGATTTCAGCATGGTCGTCGCTCGCAGCCGCAGCCCGCTGTAGATAGGTCCCCGGCAAAGTTGAACTGCCGGCCCGGCGTGAAATCAGCGCAGGGTCCGGCACCGGGACTGGCTGTGACAGATGTGGAGTGATGTGAGGGAAATGATGATCGACCAGTGGATGGAATGGTTTTTT